CTCGCCCCCTCTGGGCTCAGGCAGCCCTGGGAGGGGGACTCTGGGGGAGCTGAGGGGGTGAAGGTCCCGGGGGTGAACTCACTCACCCTGCCTGCGGCCCAGGCCCCGTGCAGATGCAGGAGGGCTGGGGGGCTGGCAGCTGGGGTTCTCCAGGACACCTGCTCTGGCACCCTTGGGGAAACACCTGTCGCTCTGTGACAGCCTCCCGCACCACGGCCAGGCCTCTTAGCCCTCGCCACGCTGCTGCTGGGAAGAGCAGGGTGCCCGTGGCCATGGTGAGGCCCGAATCACAGCCCTCCGGGAAGGGGGCCGGGCGAGGGCAGCAGGTTAGCTCACAAGGGGGCTGGGCTCCCGGCATGCGCACAGCCCTGGGTCGGGACAGGGCTCCAGAGGGGCCTGCAGGGCACCCGCCTCTGGCTGCTCGGGGGAGTTTCCATCGATCTGCCTGGCCCCTGCCATGGGTGGCGCTGCCTGGCCCCGTGCCCTGGGCCTAGCCCCACAGTCCCATTAACTTTTGTTGCCTTGTTTCCCGGCATTTCGGTGTTTGCCGAGGGCCCAGCCCAGTCCCGGGAGGTGCAGCGTGTCCCAGGCTGGGTGCCGGCCCCACACGCAGGCACACAGCTGGAGGGGGAGGGTAGCGCCCGGCGGTTCCTTCCCGTCCCAGGCGCCAGCCTGTCGGAAACGGCACCAGAGGGCGGCTGTGGGTAGGGCCCGAGGCCTGGGAGACCACCCTGCACCGCGGCTGTGCCAACTCCAGGTCAGCGAGACCCGGCGAGGGGGCTGGGGTAAGCACCAGCGCTCAACGGGCCCCTCCCCAGCCAGGCTGGCACGTGGGTGCAGGTGGGGTCCCCCCTACGCACTGCCTCATGCGGAGGAGGGGCCGTGGCAGGAGTGCACCCGGATTAAGACACGCCAAGGCCCTGAGCTCCGGCCAGCGTGAGCCCCAGAGCATGAGCAAAACCAGGAGAAAGGGGGTTTGAGTGCAGGGCCCCTCGTAGTCTCAGGCCAGAAGCTGCAGCTCTCCTGGCTGGTGCGCAGCGCCCGCCCTGTTCAAACCCAGTGGTTCTGGGGAGCAGGGCGCGCGGCGTGTGAGACTGTCCCTGTGCGCGTGGGCTTAGCTGGGGTCAGGCCTGAGTGCGGGGGAGGGATTTTGGGTAACCCTGGGGATTTGTGCACGGCCAAGGAGCTGCTCAGGGGGATTATGCATAACACCTGGGGGATTCTGGATACTGCCAAAGTGATGCTCAGCAGGATTCTGGGCAGCACCCAGGGGATTTGGGTACCCCCAAGGCGCTGTCCAGGGGGATTCTGGGCAGCACCCAGGGGATTTGGGTACCACCAAGGCACTGTCCAGGGGGATTCTGGGTAGCATCCAGGGGATTTGGATACCACCAAGGCGCTGCCCTGGGGGATTCTGGGTAGCACCCAGGGGATTTGGATACCACCAAGGCGCTGCCCTGGGGGATTCTGGGTAGCACCCAGGGGATTTGGATACCACCAAGGCGCTGCCCTGGGGGATTCTGGGTAGCACCCAGGGGATTTGGATACCACCAAGGCGCTGCCCTGGGGGATTCTGGGTAGCACCCAGGGGATTTGGGTACCACCAAGGCACTGTCCAGGGGGATTCTGGGTAGCATCCAGGGGATTTGGATACCACCAAGGCGCTGCCCTGGGGGATTCTGGGTAGCACCCAGGGGATTTGGGTACCACCAAGGCGCTGCCCAGGGGGATTCTGGGTAGCACCCAGGGGATTTGGGTACCACCAAGGCGCTGTTCAGGGGGATTCTGGGCAGCACCCAGGGGATTTGGGTACCACCAAGGCGCTGTTCAGGGGGATTCTGGGCAGCACCCAGGGGATTTGGGTACCACCAAGGCGCTGTCCAGGGGGACTCTGGACAGCACCCAGGGGATTTGGGTACCACCAAGGCGCTGTCCAGGGGGACTCTGGACAGCACCCAGGGGATTTGGTTGTGGGGGCTGACTGGCTGGGTGGGGAGTCGGGCGGCGTGGGCGCCCAGGGGTGCCCGTCGCGGCACAGCCAAGGAGCTGTTCAGGGGGATTCTGGGCAGCACCCAGCACGCAGGGGATTTGGGTACCCCCAAGGCGCTGCCCAGGGGGATTCTGGGTAGTACCCAGGGGATTTGGGTACCACCAAGGCGCTGTTCAGGGGGATTCTGGGCAGCGCTCACGGGATTTGGGTACCACCAAGGCGCTGTCCGGGGGATTCTGGGTAGCACCCAGGGGATTTGGGTTCACACTGAAGTAGACAGAGCTCTGGTGCTGCCCAGCGGGATTCTGGGTAGCACCCAGGGGATTTGGGTACCACCAAGGCGCTGTTCAGGGGGATTCTGGGCAGCGCTCACGGGAAAGGCACTGCCCAGTGGGATTCTGGGCAGCACCCAGGGGATTTGGGTACCACCAAGGCGCTGTTCAGGGGGATTCTGGGCAGCGCTCACGGGATTTGGGTACCACCAAGGCGCTGTCCGGGGGATTCTGGGTAGCACCCAGGGGATTTGGGTACCACCAAGGCGCTGCCCAGGGGGATTCTGGGTTCTGCCAGGGTTCAGGGTCACCCCAAGAGCAGCCTCAGGGCCAGACTATCCCCTGAGGCCGTTACACCCGCCCGGCCATTTCCTTGGGCGTTTGTGCTGCGTTCCGGCTCTCGGCTGGCTGGGCGGGAGGAATGTGCAGGGGCGGAGCTCCCCTTTGTCTGATGCAGGGGTGCCTGGCCCTTGTGGGGGCTGACTGGCTGGGTGGGGAGTCGGGCGGCGTGGGCGCCCAGGGGTGCCCGTCGCACACACCTCCACACGGACCACGGCGCTGACTCGCCCGCCCAGAGGCGCAGGAAAAAAGCAGCCTGGAGCCTGACTCGGCACAGATCCCTTTATTGCGAATCCCTATAAATACAGCCCATCCCCGAGGGCCCTGTGTCCCCCCCGTCGCGGCAGGGCCGTCACAGCCCTGCGGGCCCCGTCCCAGTAGAACAGCCCCAGGCCAGCGGGGCCGCGCACCCGGCCCAGCCCTGCCCCGGGGCCCCATGGCAGTAGACGGCGTTTGGCAAGTGCTTGTGGCAGGAGGCGCTTGGGGCTGGGGGTCCCCGTCGCCTTGTTCACCCAGTTCCCCTGCGTTCGAATCCGGCTGCTGGCAGCCTCCCGGCGCTCGGGCCCAGCTCCCGGCAGCAGGGGGGAGCTGGGTGTGGGGGGGCAGGGACACGCCCCTCCCAGAGCTCGGCAGTATGGGGGGCTCCCTGGGGAGGCGCTGCCGTGCTCCCTGCTCTGCCCAGGCCGGTTGGCAGGACGTATGGGGCAGCCCCTTTTCCCTCCCCCACGCAGCAAGGCAGGAATTTGCCCCATCCCCCATTATTGCTGGGCCCAATGGGAGCCGGAGCAGCCCCCCCCAGGGCCAAGGGCTGCAGGGTGGGGGGGATTCCCCAGAGCTGACACCCCCCGACCTGCTCCCTGACTCCTCCCCCACCTGCCCCATGGCAGCAGCCCCCTGCCCAGGGCCGTTTGTGGGCGCCTGGCCCCTGGAGTCCAGCTGCAGGAAGCTCGGGGGGATGCTGGAGCCCGTGGGGCGGCGCCCCGGCGATCCTACGACGACGCGGCCGGGTTGGTGTAGAAGGCGTTGTTGCCGTTGCCGGTGTACATCTGGGGGACACAGAGGGGACGGGGTTAGAGCCCCGCCAGGCCAACCCCGTTACCTGGCAACCAGGACACCTCAGCCAGGCAACCACCGGTACCCCTGTCGGCATGGAAACGGGCTGTGATCTCCCCAGCAGGGCTGTAGCTAGGGAGGGGGAGGGGGGCAGAGGCGCCAAAGCAGGGCCAGAGCCCCCCAGATCCACAGGCTGCGGCTCCCGACCGGCGGGGTCCATCAGCCCGGCAGCACCACTCCCGCTGGGCCCGTCTGCTGAGTGGGGGTAGGGGGCAGGTCCCCTTTCCTCCTGGCCCCCTCCCCAGGGCACCGGCTCCCTGCTGTGCCCCTCCCCTTCCAGCCCCCTAGGGCCTTCCATCCCGCTCCCCCGCCTCCATCATTGCCCGCCCCCCTGAAAACTGGGCCCACCCGCGTCTGTCCTAGCCCCTACCGGGCCATCACCACCTCCCCCTGTCGGCATGGAAACGGGCTGTGGGGCCGGGGAGGGACTGACAGGAAACAGCCCCCCCGTGCGCTAGGCCCGGCCCCGCTGCCCTGCCAGCAGGGGAAGACCTGGGGCTGCTCCAGCTCCTGCCCCCGGCACGCCGGGGCCAAGTCAGCCCTCCCATGTAGGGCCAGGTACCCTGTGGGGAGCCTGGGACCCGTGCCAGGCCTGGGCCTGTAACAGCAGAGAGCATCCCTGTAACGCCCCGGACCAGCCCCTGGCACGTTGCTGCGGCCCTGGTGCCCGCTGGCACCGACTCCTAGGGCATGAGCCGGGCGGGGCGGCTGTCCTTGCACAGGCGGAGACATGGTGACAAGGAGACACCAGCCCCCCGCTGCCAGGCCCCATGGGGAGGGGGAGGGAAAACCAGACTCCGCCTGAGCCCGGCCAAGCTGCCCTGCCCAAGGCCACCTGGCACCCCGGGCTCTGCCCAGGCAGGGGCCTTGGCCCTCCTGCTGCCGGCCAGCAGGGACTGTCGGAGCCCAGCGCCCTGGAGCAGACGGGGGCTGCCTGGGACCCATGGGGCAGGGCACAGCCAGCACGGCCCAGGGGCCACTGGTCGGGCTCCATGTCCCAGGGCCAGGCATGGGCCCCACCTCCAGCCCACTCCCACCCTGCCCCACAACCTCAGTGTGACGCATCCCCTAGTTCCACCCTCAGCCTCACTCTGCAACTCCCCCACGGTGCCACCCTGTGACCCCCCAACTGCAATCCCCAACGGTGCCACCCTGCGACCCCCCAACTCCAACCTCCCACAGTGCCACCCTGCGACCCCCTGTGACGTAGTGGGGGTACCTGGATGGTTTCTATGCTGCTGGCTCTGGGGTAACCCCCACTGGCTGCCGTGGGTACCATGACCCAGCAAAACAGGATGAGTCACTATGCAAACCAGTGGCCAGACACCCCCCATGGAGAGGAACAAAGGAAGGTGGAATGCTGCTTGGCTGGGGGGCAGGGCTGGA